CCCCTCTCTCTCTCTCACTGATAGTCATAGTGATACAGTGACCCTACTTCAAAATCCTGCAGAACAGGAAGGGAGAGATGATTCACTTCAGCCGTGTGTGTAACCTCAGCTTCAGTTGTTGAGCTTTGTGCATAAACGCCATTTTTTTATGAATAGGAACTTCATCTGATTAATCCAAAATAAGATCAAGGCACCAATAAAACTGTTGTGAAATGATAAATTGAAACAACCGGTTTATTGTGAACGGCATGCTTTCATCTCCATGTATACTTTAGTATATGCACTGGTAATATCCCACCGGCCATTGCAATAAGGGCAGAGCATTATCTGCCCCCTTACATCCTGGAATTCTTTGCCACTACTACCCCCTTCAAATAAATACCCCATTAAAGTATACCAAAAAAATCAGCTTTTCATGCAGTACTCTCATTCAATACGGAGTTTTCCTTCCACAGTAATTGTTTTATTGCTGTTAGATCTCCTCAGTCTTCTGAGTTGAATGACATCTGGCTTCATTCAATACCCTTCCTCTCAGCCCAGGCTGTCATGGTTCCGCCCCCCAAACCTATGACTGGACGGTGAAGGAGAAGCAGCAGAGTGAAGGGCTCATCTCTCTGTCACTCTGCTTCTTCCCCCCTATCAGCATGATCCATTGCAGTACATGCACTGATTGGCTCCTTGTCCTGCTTCTCCTACTTCCACTCTGAGCTCTGCTGTACGGGAACTACAAGAGGCTGATGCCAGATCAAATTCATGTCCTTACACTGCTTGCATTTTAAAAAAAAAAGCATTTGATGGTGTATTATTGAATACAGGACTGCAGGGGAGACAGAATTCTGGATCTGCACAGTGGCAGCCATTGGCACAGCGTAACAGCCAGGAAGCTAGCATTTCAAAGAAAAGAGTATAGCAACGGCAGTATCTGCGATTTTTTAATACAGGTTTCCTGTAAGCAATTGTCATCCAGTCTTGTTAGCGCTAGGCTTGCCAACTGGCCGAGTCACAGAAAAAGCTGTAGAGTCACACAAAAAAGCAAGATTTAGCTCTTGGCGCTAATAATTACCATCACACAGTCCCCCAGGAGTAGTCTTGTAAAATATCCACAGCTTTAGGAGAGGCTGCTCGTCAAAGAGACTCTGGGGCTCTCATCAGATACATAAGGGTTCGTTCACACCGGATGCAGTGCGTTCCGGCCCGATTCTGGCCAGAACGCACTGCATCGCATTGCGGCCTGCTCACTTTTTTGTGGGGCAGGGAGGGGGCTTTGTCGGGCCATTGCAGTGAATGGCACCGTAGCCACCCCCTCCGGCCACATGGGATCGCAAGGCACATTATGCCTGCGGTCCGGTCCGATCAAAATAGTGTTTGCAGCATTTTGATCGAACCACAGGCATAGTGTGCCTTGCGATTCCGTGCGGCCGGAGGGCGTGGCAACGGTGCCATTCACTTCAATGGCCCGACAAAGCCCCCTACTGCCCCACAAAAAAAGTGAGCCGGACGTAATGCGATGCAGTGCGTTCTGGCCAGAATCGGGCCGGAACGCACTGCATCTGGTGTGAACGAACCCTTAAAGGAGAACTATGGGGGTTAATGCTTTTCCCCATAGTTCTCCTTAGAGTAACGGGAGGACACAAACTAGCGGCCTCCCGTCACCCTATGCTCAGTATAACGCGAGCTGCTGCTCGCGGTATACTGAGACGCCGCAGCGGATCACGACAATTATGTCTGGATCCGCCCAGCTGCGTGAGTGACAGCTGGCTCTGCCTATCTAGAGGCAGAGCCAGCTGTACTCGCCCCCTCCCCCGTCCGTTCCGCCAGTCAACGCTGGCAGATCGGAGCGCGGAGGGGGGAATCCATCCCCTCCCCTGTCATGGCAGAGAGCCGTGACAGGATCGAGAGGTGAGCGAACGCCGGTATGTGTTCGCTCACCTCCCGATCTACTAAGCCGACCTGTGACAGTCTCATTGTCACAGGTCAGCTAGAACTATGAGGAGGAGTGAAAAGCACTCACCTCATAGTTCTCCTTTAAAGACAAAAGCAACAAAGCGCCACCTCCTTGTGTGAAATCTTTTTTTATTTGAATAATAAAAATGTTTATAAATACTCACAGTGGTAACATTTCAGTCACGCTTGTCAATAAGAGACCACAAGATCAGTGTCTAAGGAATTTTCAGCTCCAACTGTGTATAAAAAGCTGCCTCCGGTCACATCACCATACCATCACGCCACCGGCTGCTTTTAGGCTGGATTTACGCGTTTCAGGGGCATACCCCCTTCCTCAATCACTGCAGCCGGTGGCCGGATGGTATGGTGATGTGACCGGAGGCAGCTTTTTATACGCAGTCGGAGTGGAACATTCCTTAGACACTGATCTTGTGGTCTCTTATTGACAAGCGTGACTGAAATGTTACCACTGTGGGTATTTATAACCGTTTTTAATATTCAAATAAAAATAGATTTCACACAAGGAGGTGGCGCTTTGTTGCTTTTGTCTTTTATGTTGCCAACTGGACAGTCCGGGCCTGCTGCTTCACATGTGCTTATATTGCTATACAGTCACAGTGGTCCCAATTTGGGCTCCTTTATATAGTTCAAGTCCTTCCTGATGACACCTATGCAGATGATCTTTCATAGATCATCTGAGGGAGACTGTGTACGGCAGGCTGAATGGTACACAGCTGTGATCTATGGTTCTCTGTCCTCTGCATCCCGTCTTCTGTCTCTAATGGCATTGATTATGGATACCCAGCCCCATAATAGGGGGCCATTAGTCTTATGCCAGCAAATACTCCGCAGAGGATATGTACACGTAATCACTACAACACCATTGGACGAGCATTTGTCATTATTCATGTACAGAAGCACTGCAACGCTTGTGCAGGGACGGTCTGAATTAAATTACAGGCATTTGGAGACACAGACATATAAATAAATGTAATGCTCTGCAGACGGGGCCGGGATGATATCCTAGAGCAGGCCGGCATGTGAGATTGGTATAGGGGGAAAGCTGAAATATAATAGGATAACAGCTCTGTACCATATAAGAAAACTAATTTTTGATTGCATTGGCACAGGCGCTGGTGATTTATGTTTTTTATTGGGTTTTATTGTGTATATTTAATGGTTATTGTATCAGCAGGGCAGGGAAGAAGTACAACAACTGGGTATTAGTATTAAGATGTGCCCTTTGCATAGGGTGCGGTTCTGTAAGTTTAGTGTCTGTGCGCTACCATGTGAACACATTTTGGACTATTAGTGCATATTAGCACATTGGTGACGCTCATCTTGGACTGTTCCCTTCATTGTAAGGCTGGGTTAACACCTAGGCGTATCGAATATGCGCATTTGTCGCGCGATTCGCGGTTAAAAAACCGTGCGACAAACGCGAGTTTCCGATGGCTACTTGGCTGTATCCCAATGGAAACGCGCAACAAAAACACCCCAAAGAAGCTCCTGTACTTCTTTGGGCTTAGGACGTTTTGTAGCGCGTTCATACGGCCTGTAATACGCCCAGGTGTGAACCATACCCATAGGAAATAACGGGATTTCGGGGGTTTGAGCGTTTTGCAGAGCGCTCGAACGCGCTACAAAACGCCCACGTGTGAACCGGGCCTTAGTCTACAGTAATGCCACTCAGCTTATGCAGTAGAAACTCCTATGGCAAGACAGATTCAACCAGCAGTGCTAGCTTAGTCCAAAGACAGCTTTCTCCTAACACTCATAGAAGAAGTGGCTTTTGGAGAAACAAATACATGAATTAAGAGGCGTTTAATGTGTTTTTCTGGCGTTTTTCTGTATCTAAACCTATTTGAATGTAAAGAAATGTAGTTTGTCAGTTATACCTTTTCACAATGATGATAACCAACCAGGAGTACCTTTCTTCTGCTCTGCACGCTGCTCATTGGACACCCAACAGTTGACATTAAAAAAATGGTGGCAGGTACTGTATGGACTTAATAGCAAAGCATGCAACGTTGAACTGAATCTGGAACGCATGCAGTGCCCGCTCAAAGCACCGTTAGCATGCTGATTTTTTTATGTCTTTATTTTGTTGCTATGTTGCAGTTGCTTCATTTGTTGAGTTTGATCTACAGTCTCAGTCTATATTGAACTTAAAGAGTCAGTCCGTCCTAAGTTATTTTAACTTTTTTTTTGAGGACTTTGATGGTAAAACCTTTGTGCTTGAGTTCACATCTCCATTTCTTAAGCCATTCAAACCATCTGGCCATAAGAGAAATACAGGACTCGACATTAGATCTTTTGAAAATGTTGGTTGCTATGTTGACCTCATGGTCTCTGACTCTGAACATGTAGGCAGAAAGCCAGAGTACAGTTGCTATTTGGCCAAAAGTAGGCAGCCACACCTCTAAACAGTTTATTTCAGGTGTCTCCAGTGAAGGGCGCTGTTAAGGCTTCGCCATACAAAGACATTTGAAATAATTGAGCTCTTCCAGCCTTGTGGTAACAATCTGGTGAGGGCCCTTTTCTGTTCCACCATGACTGTTTCCTGTGGACAAAGCCAGCCCCATGAAGACCTGGTTTCATGAGTATGGTGTGGAGGAACTTGAGTGGCCTTCACAGAGCCCCGACCTCAACACTACTGAACACCTTTGGGATGAAATGGAGTCAAGACATCCAGGTTCACATGTTGTATTTGGGCCTTCTAGGAGTATAGCAACACCCCAGCAGTGTGTTAAGCTTGCTCTGCAGTTTTAGTAAGGGGAGGTTTTGGGGCAAACTACTTTTGCAACTGCAAAAAACACTTTTTTTGTAGTAATATTTAAAGCAAACTTGTGCTTTGCTATGCTTATCAAAGTAACAGATTTGCTTGAATTTTCCCTTACTATCTGCACATATTGATCTTTACTTCACTCTACAATCTCTCAGTTGAGCTGCTCGGAGTGAAGATAATAGCTGGTACTTCCAGATATAGAGGAGCATGAGACTCATTACATCCGCCTGCACTGGTGATTGGTCTAACACTGTTACATGGATGCAGTAGAGTCCTCAGCCCTGTGTAAGCTCCAAATTGAGTGACTTTACATAGGGTTTCCATCCCTCACTCCGGACAGCTAATCAGAGAGGTGCAAGAGTGAAGGCAAGTTAATATGTGCAGAGCACAGGTTCTGTGTAGCTTCAGCCTGATCCCTAAAAGTAATGTAATGATTAGAGTTAAGCTGGCCATACACTGTAAGAATCACTCAATTCCTCAATCCGCTGTAATATTCAGGGCTGATATGACCCGTAGCCAGCCGTATCAGCAAAAAAACTTTTATTCTTTTCCACAAATAAAATGGCTTATATTCAGCAGAATGATAAAATCAACAGAGCTTATTATCAGCAAACACAAGATTCAGCTCAGCGCCTGTATACCAAGTCCCACCCTCAGGGTTAGAGTCCCAGCCTCAGGGTTAGAGTCCCAGACTGCTCACAGAGGGTTCCAGTATGGACACAGGTGCCCCAGCAGTGTCTCGGTAGACTGTATTCCACAGCTTAACATACATGCCCATGTGTCCTGCTCCAAACACTCCTCACAGACTAATTGGCTTCCTGTTCCTTTTTAGCACACCCTCTGGCTGGTGGGTTAACCCTTTCATTACCAGAACTGGCTGTGGTCAGGGATGGAGGCTCTGTCCCCCCCAAAAAATCTCTCTGAGCCTTCAGATTCCAGGACCCATGTAAAATGAACAACTCTGGGAAGACTGCCTAGCAATTTCCCTTACAAGTCCGACCCGGAACCCCCTCACCCTGCTTGGCGAGAACCCTGAATACAAGGTGACCTTAACAGGACCACCACCTAAACAAGGGAGGGATATACCGTCCATCCAGGACCCATTCCTGGCGTTCTGTACATCCACGAGTGTGGATGGGGGAATCTGAGAGCTTTCAGAAAATCCAATTAGTGACCACAGTTGACCAGTTGTAGTCATTGTTTGGCCAACAATATTCCACCCGGCTTCTTCAAAAAAATTTGATAGAAAAATCTGGGTGGTGCCGGCAAGGTCAATTTTTTGAATTTTGGCCGATTCAGCGGGAAACAGCTGCAATTCAATCCGTGTATGGCCAGAAGGGTCCCCAGACCGAAGAGAAGTAGATCCTAAAACACTGATACCTACAGGCCTCCAGCAGTAAAGCTTTATAAACATCTGTACCAAAGAACCCACCATGGCTTTTTGTGTAATTATTGATCATAGTCTATTTTATAATCACTCTTATTTGAATTTTCATATTTATTTGCACTCTGTTTTGCATGTCTGCAATTAAAAAAAGTAGTGTTGAATATTTTTAGGCTGTTTAATAATCTGAATAATGTATATTGTGTTCCTTGACAGTGGCTTGGTTTGCGTTTGACCCTGGCTCCGCCCATTCGGACATCATCTTTTCTAATGACAACCTAACCGTCACGTGTAACAGCTATGACGACAGGGTGGTCCTGGGCAAGACAGGCTTCTCCAAGGGAGTCCACTATTGGGAGCTGACCATTGACCGGTATGACAATCACCCAGACCCAGCCTTCGGCGTGGCCCGCATAGAGGTGATGAAGGATGTCATGCTGGGAAAGGATGACAAAGCGTGGGCTATGTACGTGGACAATAACCGCAGCTGGTTCATGCACAACAACTCCCATACAAACAGGTAACCCAACTTCTATTGTCATATGGTTTACACTGCAGGCATGTAAAAGGTTCTGGAGCAATGACGGAATGTAACAGAAGCACAGGGGAAGAAGGGTTTAGTCACTTCCTGTTATAAGGTAACAACGCTCTGTCCTTGTCTTCCAGTTGTGCCCTTGCGTTGTCATCATGTTACAGGGTTTCCAGTGCAGACTGCACGGGACCATTTCAAATCTCATTACTGTTCTTGTCCACTGTTGGACAAGAACAGTCCCACCCTGAGATATGTCATGCAACCATCGCTGGAGTGCATGTAGACAGGAAGTGACTGCGAATAGGATGCCGCAATAGACGAAAAAGCTGAAATAGATTTTATTCTTTAAAAACTTAACTTTTTATGACACATGGTGCTTTACCAAACCAAAACTCATTCAGTTAGTGGTTTACATTTACTCTAAATATATAACTATTGCTAGCTCACATAGTTCCCGGGGCTATTCACTCCTGGAATTGTACTCACTCTCCTTGTCAGGTAAAGCTGCATGGTAAAATTGACATGACGGCGACTCTGTATTTGTGTGTTTCCATACAGGACTGAAGGAGGTATCACAAAAGGTGCCACCGTTGGGATCCTCTTAGACTTCACCAGGAGAACCTTGACTTTCTCCATCAATGAAGAGCAGCAGGGTCCGGTGGCATTTGAGAGCATGGAGGGATTGCTGTTCCCAGCTGTCAGTCTTAACAGGAATGTGCAGGTAAGAATCATGCTTTGAATAGTCCATATTTAGTGAGTCCGGGGTATAGTAATCGACGCAGCCTTTCATCATTCTTTTATGTTTAATGTTAATGTGATCTTCTACTTTGCTTAGGAAGGACGAAGCAACAAGCTCACTTTAAGGTGCATATACGTTCTGATTAAGCTGCTTCTGCAATTCTTCCAGTTTTGTTATATATGTCAGATACTAATGATATCAGTAACCACATATCTTGAATACATTTATGGACTGAAAAGTGGTTTATCTCTCTAATACTGAGTAATACTAGCAAAAGTGTGCCAGTTTCTTGAATGAAATGAAAGTCTGAATTCATGAGAGTAGTCAACTATATAGAAAAGGGATTACGAAGGGCCACTTATCAAAGTAATTATTATATGGAATGGGGAGTGAAGGGCTATTGGAGTATGGATATTATGGAATGGGAAGTTCAAAGTAGGGCCTATGGAAGTAGAGATTATATGGAATGCGGAGTATTAGAAAAGCCAAGTGGAGTATGGACTATATAGAATTGGATGTGTGGAGAAGGGCCTATCAGAGCAAGCATTATATGGAATGATAGTGCAGAGAAGGGCATTTCAGAGTAGTGGTTACATGGAATGGGAAGTGCAGAGAAGGGCATGTCAGAGTAAGGATTATATGGCACAGAAGGACCTGTGGGAGTCTGGATAATATGGAATGGGGAGTGCAGAGAAGGGCCAATAGGAGGAGTGATTATTTAGAATAGGGAGTGCATAGACGGTCTGTTGGAGTAACTATTATATGAAATGGGAGTACAGAAAGGGGCCTATAGATGTAAGTATTATATGGAATGGGGAGTGCAGAGAAGGGCCAATATGAGGAGGGATTATTTAGAATAGGGAGTGCATAGAAGGTCTGTTGGAGTAACTATTATATGAAATGGGAGTACAGAAGGGGGCTATAGATGTAAGTATTATATGGAATGGGGAGTGCAGAGAAGGGCCTGTCTGAATTGAGATAAAAAAGAATATGGACTGTGGAGAAGGGGGAATCAGAATATTGTGGAGAAGGGTGGATCGGAATACTGTGGACAAGGCTAATCCGAATAGTGATCATATAAATTAAGGACTGTGGAGGAGGGCCTATCAGAAAAGTCAGTAAATGAAATGCGGAGAAGGGTTAATTAGAATACTAATTATATGGAATGTGGAGGAGGGAGCCTATTGGAGTAGTCATGGCGTAAAGACTAATGAATGCAAGAAGCCTCGAAAGGTCTTCTCTTTTTATACAGACTATAGGGAGCAGAGCTTTGTGTATTGGATGGGGCTATCTTCCTGTTAAAATGGGTGCAAGACAGTAAGGTGAGTGTGCTGGGAGTGTGATATAGAGGGGGAGAACAATGGTGTTCTGGGGTAGGATCTCAATGTACTGGAGGCAGGCTTCCCCATACAAAAGTAAACGTGGCACTTAGGTTTAATACTGTATAGGATATAGTATAGGAAGTATGCTCTACCATGGCAAGTGGCATACTTAGCTGAGCATTTATAAAGCTGTGCTCTGTCCTTCTTACAGGTGACACTTCACACTGGTCTGCCTATTCCTGGATTCTACACATCTCGAGCCTCTTTACACTCTTAAGAGCGTATCAGAGATGGCTTTTCCTTCTTTTCCCATCAACCATCACTTTGGACTCCAATGCAGCAAATATTTCTGGGAAGGAACACAAGCCTCCCCTTGATGTCCGGCTCTCTCTCAGTGCTATGTTCCCTTATCAGCCTCAAACCTCAGGCCAGCCGACTCCCAGACAGCTTGGGTCATTATCGTCAGGTTTATTTATTTCATTCTTTTTGTTCTTTCTGTGGACTCTTGACTGTACATAGACGTTGTCGCTGTTACCATTGGCCTATATGCCGCTGCTACAACTCCGAGAATCCCCCCGAAACTGTAACACAAAGTCAGTTATTTACGGCCTGGCAGTAAAGCAGAAGTCTTCATAAAGGACCATGGAAGCCGTCATAATGTTTTTTGGGTTGGTCTACAAAGAATGATGTAAAACCAGCCTGGTTGAATGCCTTGAACTTGGAATCAGGATCATTTTCTATCGATGTGATCTGAGCCTGCAAGCAAGACTGGTTACTTCTTGTATATATCCTTTTATTTTGCTCCCACGAAGAATGTATGGTGACGTTCCTATACAACTGTATCAATGGTGCTTGTTACATTAGAAAGTTTCATTGTATAACAGATTCCTATAGATGGCTTTTTTTTCTAACTATATAAGAATGGTCTTAAAGTATTACTATTTTGGAAACCTTTCTGTGCTTTTCTTTGTTTGGTCGAAGAAAATTGTCGCTAGGCACCTGCCTAGGGGAAGTGCAGCCTGGGGACACCAAAGTTCCTTAACGTTTAAATGGATGTTGAAATGTTGAACGCACATTGATTCAAAATAAAGATCCTAAACTCTTGAGAGGTCAGGTGTGGTGTAGAACAGTCTCATTGATTCTGAAAGTGCAGTCTTGTATTTTGTAGATGAAGACACAAATTGCAAATATATTTTATGAGAACGGTTGACACATGACACATGAACGGATGTAAAATCTTTAGCAAAGGATTATAGGTTAGCCCAAATCTAGCCAAATGTATATTATGTTTTCCATTTAGGATAGAGGGGGAAGGATACGAACCTCTGCCAAGTTTTTATCTTTATCTGTCACCCTACAGCAAATAACCACAGATGACACTGATCCAGGCAGCAAATGTGTCACAGTGGTGAGGGACTTTTTTTTGAATTTTCATTTTGTTTTTTTAACTCATTGGAGATGACAGGTTCTCTTTAAGGTGACATTAGGGGTCTATTAAATCGCCCACTGACCACCAATAATAGGAGGTCCTTTACTCACCACCAAAGAAAGGAGGTCCTTCTCCCACTAACCACCAATGTAAGGAGGTCCTCCACCCCCTGATCACCAATGTATGGAAATCCTACCACTGACCATCAGTCAGTGGCGTCACAAGGGGGGTGTTGGGGTGTCACCCGGTCTGGAGACCGGGTGACACCAGGCCTCGGGACGCCCCTCATCAGTGTAAAATATATTCTACCACTGACCACCAATGTAGTGGGTCCTTCTCCCACTGACCAATTTAGGGAGGTCCTCCCCCTGACCACCAATATAAGGCGGTCTTTTTCCCACTAATCGCCAATCTAATGGGCCCTTTTCTACTGACCATCAATGTAAGCGAGCATTAATCCTGGGAAAACTACAGTTTTCACTATATGTGTGGTCAGTATTATTATAAGTTTCATTTTATTATGATTACTGAAAATATATTTTGTCCCTGGCGCTAATATTTTCTGTGTACATAATGTCAATGATTGGAACAGAGCATTCACCTTTAATTGTACTATATAGAGGTTTTTATTGTGTTTCATGTCCCCGCTGTGGAGATTTCCTCTCCCACAGATGCATTGGAGAGGGAGATCAAATCCTGACAGAGTAGAGGGAAATCCCAACTTTTACAATTGTCACTGGAACAGCCAGGTGTCCCCATTGGAAGATTTCTCCTCTGCTCTCTTTTCTGTCATGGTGACAACAGTAACAGGACAAAAGATAAGAGTAAATCTCCCCAACGGGCCACACACACTAATAGAAACCTGACAGTGCTCCTAATTCTTTTCGATACTAGTGGGAAAATGTCGGGAGCTTTAAATTTGATATTATAAGTCTAGGTTTTGGAATTTAAACAGTTATAGGGTATGCATGATGTCTCACCCTTCAGCTCTTCAAAGCACAACCTCTGTCTCTATAAACCATAGTCATAAGTCTGAAGGCCTTGTTCACACAGATGTTAAAAGCCGGTGCTCAGTGCACTTGTCAGATGCATGCCATGTGCCCCGCAAACTTGCAGCAGCAAAGGGCATATCAAGCCACAATCTAAACATCAGCTCTCAGTGAAGGATATGCTTCGTGTTTTTCAGTGGACCCAACGATTGGAGAGTGCTGGAAAACTCAGCGTAATTCACAAATTCATCACATCCCTGCCACCATGACCGCATCACTTGTGTTACTAAGGCGCTGAAGCTCCAGCAGTGCTGCAGTCGGCTCCACAGTATCCTGCTGCCCTCTACTGGCAGTTTAACATATGACAGTCACCAGTAAGCAGTTTTAAACTATCCATGGCAAAGCGTCTATAAAATGCCGTCCTTCCAGTAAACAAAGCGTGCCAAAATTTGATGATTTATAAAAGTCTAAATTGCTGATTTATTTTGAACTTTTGTAAATATATTTATAACCTTAGATAGATGTGGGATCTATTTTTAGGACACACATAATATGGAAAGCTCTAAAAAAAAAAAAACAGGAGTGTAGAAGATGAATTATTTTTATTTTGCACAATTACTAAGCAAAGAAGTAATGATCAATACTTTTTATTTGCAGAAATGTCTATTCCACAAAAGTGTGTGCTGTTTAAAGGGAAGCTATGGTCATTTGGACTTTTTTTTAGATATATGAGTGAATTAAGTCTGCTTCATGAAAACAATCAACTGGCATCAATGTTTTCTAACATTTTGCTTCTCTGTATAGTCTGTAGATATATATGTACATGGAGGAATCCATATTTGCTTATGACATATTCAGCCTGTGGTTTCAGCTTAGTATTGCCGCACAGTGATTCTGCTATAATGTTTCTTCTGTTTTGTTTTGTGCTAATTTGATTTTGTTTCAGCAGCTGGATGCAGTCGGTAATGTACAGATAGCTAAGAGAGACAGAAGGTTCAAATGTGTATATTTAGTGCAGTTTTGGAAACATGGTATGGCGAGAATTTAAAAAAGGAACATCAAAAGTTGCCCATACAATAAAATATAATTGGGGGGAATTTATGAAAACTGGAGCAGACAAAAACTGGAGCAGCTGTGCATGGCAACCATTCAGCTTCTCTCTTCAGATTGGCCAGTTAAGATTTGAAAATGAAAGAGAGAAGCTGATTGGTTGCCATGCACAGCTGCTCCAGATTTTTTCTGCTCCAGTTTTGATTCCCTTCAATGACTCAACATGTAATTGTTATAAACAATACACTGTAATTTGCTTTTAAAGTTTATATCCAACCTGGCACATTTGCCAACAGACTCTCAGTTTGCCAAGTTGTTCTGAAAACCTGATTTATTTTTCTCTGTTTCCTTTTCATGAAGGTGCAGCCAAAATGTCAAGGTGGAATTTAAATGATTGCAATGTGTTAAAAGTAAATCTATTTCCACTATCCTTGCAGTTAACAATGGGACCAGAAATAGTAGATGGGCTTTATTCAAAACCTAACCACAAAAAAAGCTATGATACACTAGATGGCCAACTTTACGTGGAAATTCCCCAAATGATTGAGTTCAAGTGTTTCCAGTGAAGGGTTCTGTTAAAGCTACGGCATACAAAGACATTTTACACAATTGCACTCTTCCAACTTTTTGGGTGAAGGCCCTTTTCTGTCCCTGTATGACTGGGCCCCTGTGTACACAACCAGCTCCATAAAAACATGGTTTGCTGAGTCTGGTGCGGAGGAACTCAAGTGCCCTGCACAGAGCCCTGACCTCAACCCTACTGAACACTTTTGAGATGAATTGGGACTACAATTGCTAGCCGGGTCTTCTCATCCAACATCAGCACCTGACCTCACAAATGCTATTTTGGCTAAATGGGTACAAGTTTCCACAAAACACATAAAATCTTGTGAAGAGCCTTCCCGGTGTTCCATCGAGGTGGCCAATTCGTCGAGATCTCCAACTCGTGACGTCACGTCCATTGTAGATTTTGATGAGATGGCGCTAGTGCACGTGCGCCAGCTGTCACAGTTTTTGCAATCCTCGTTGACTTATCCACTTGCCGTAGGTGCGCCTGTGCAGCTACGAAATTGTCATCAAGTTTTCCAACTCCCGTCAGTGCTTGTGGCATCGGGTGCCCTCGCAGGCGCACTGCTGCAGATTGTACAGCTTGATACTTCACTTGGGTGGCTGCGCAGGCACACTGACTGGAGTTGGAGGTCTCGACGAGTTGGAAAATTCGATAGAACACAGTAAGTGTGGAGGCTGTTATAGCCTCTGGGAAGAAGGGGGTGTCACCTCAATAGTAATGCCCATGGTTTTGGAATGGGAAGCCCAACAAGCTCATATACTGAACATGTAATGATCAGGTGTTCACCACCTTTTCAGTATATCCAATAACCACTGCTAGAACCACTTCAGGCAAAAGAGCAGTGCCAAGCCAATACCAGTTAGGAAACTGATGCTAGTGGTGTAATCTGAGGGCCAGTTTGGATATATCATAGGTGGCATTGCATCTCCATATCTGAATTTCTTCCTGAAATCCTTCAAAAGCAGTGTATGGAAACTCAGGCCCCTTTGAGAATAATGGGATCAGCTGCTTCTTCACCTATGGCATTTATGGTAGCTCAGACCTTGGGCGTGGTATCTCCTGGGCCCTAAAGGTTATGTAATGTTGCACTTGTATATGCAGGGAGCTGCAAACAGTAGAAGCTCATGATATAGGGAGGAGCTGTAAGTGCAGAAGCAGTGGCGTCAGTGAGGCTGCAGCTTGATGACAACATCACCTATTCCAGATTATAATAATAGTACCTTTGACCCCAGGGTATTTTTTTTTTTTTTTTTTTTTAGTGGGCTCACCATCAGGCCTCCTACCTGGACCAAAGGATTGCCATGAGCTCAATGTACACACGCGGCCAGAGACATCTTCACTTTGTGTTGCTCTATGTTGAGCTGAAGCAAATTTAACCAATGGGGGTCCATCTGAGAAGGCTGATACTGTGTCTTTTTAGCATGCTCCTCTGGTTGGATACCACTAAAACCATAACCTGGAACAGAAAATTGAAATACAGTGCAGTAAATATGTGTATTAGAAATTAAACTGTTACATGAGTTGAATAAAGACACGTGCCCATCAAGTGCATCCTTTCACTGCTCTGTGTACTGTGTTAATAAATAAAGCCCCATTTACATTAGCAGCACAGTTGTTTTCATATTCAGTCAACATGGTAAAAGGGTCATGTAAACCAATGCCTGGGCACTGAACATGTGTTCTCTGCTGATTTATCAGATTTTGAGGGACTCACCTCAAGAGACTATCCAGGCCCAATTCAGCTACTACAGTTATGCTCCACCTATGTTCTCTCACTCTGGCTATGGGTGCCAGCTTACGTCTACACTGCTGCTGGCGATAGGAATGGGTGGATAAAACACACCTGTTGCTTTACCTTTATTTTATAAACATAGGTTCACTATAAAGCAACTCCCCATGAACGCCTGGGCAAAGTTTTATTCCCACTTTGAATGTACATAGGGGATTTCAGCTATGTGTGCCAAGTATAGACGTAGAAAAGTTGAACGTGCTACTTTATTTTGACTGGTGCTACTCTGTCCTCTCCCTTTGTGTCCATTAGTTAATCTTTGCTACAGACCTCTGTTGCTG